AGAAGATTCTCGAGAGTAAGAATCAACAATATATGTGTGTATGTAAACGCTTTAACCAGTATTGTTACGTAAGACTGAAGTTTCTATAAAACATTCCTACGCTATAAATATAAGTAACGCGACGCGCCAAGAAAGTATATATTATTGATTTGCTGTAATTCGTATACTGTAAACCTCGGAAGCTATAATTGTGATTTTTAGAACGCTTATCAATCGGAAAACTTAAGATATTCGACCAGGAATATTTATAAATTTCGAACATTACAAATCGCTTAACTTCAGTGGATTCTCATCGGACATTAGTATTTTTTACTAAAACATTATCTAACTTCAACGGTGAAAAACTCGGCGTGTGTTGCAAAGGACAAAGCTAGCTAGCTTCCCAGCGAATCGTACTTACATCAACTTGTAATTAACTCGCTCATCGTGAACCCTCGATAAGATATCAAGGAAGTTCCAGACAAGAAAGAAAACTATATCGTTTGTAAGTTTGTGAAACTTTTGTTTATAAATCATTGTTTGTAGTAACTATTTGTAATAATTGTTATTGTAAATTGTACTGTTGTGTGTATATTAAAACGTATTTGTGTTAAAAACGAAAACGGTGTATATCAATCTTGTTGGCAAATATCGTAAATTGACTAATATATCGGCATATATTGAAATACTAAATCCAAAGTACAACTTAACTACTAAATTTGAATTATCAGTTAACTCGGCTTCGGAGTATTTGAAATTCTTATACGTAACAGTGGTTTTAGCACAAACTTCTCAACCACGGACTATCGGCTCACACCAGATTGAGATGTTCGAAACGTTGGGGTTGCAGTTGAATGGGTTTGTACAAAAAAACCACACTCGTACATATTGTACTGTATAGGAGGATAATATTAGTGCTATTTTAAAAAATTTTTGAATATAAATCTTTAGTACTTTAAGTTTAAAGTTCCTGTTATTTAGGGGTTATTATACAGTAAATAGTATGAAAAGATATGACAGTTGTAGATTTTAGCACTTACAACTTATTTAGCTGTATTTTTATGACTAGTTTATTATTCATGTTTGAAAGATAATTGGGAAGATGGGACATCCCCAACATCTTTTGGGTATTATCACTGCTGTTATCTTTCTGAAATTTTATACTTTGCAGTTTTTATTTATTCGAAAAGAGGTA